AACAACTCTCTTACAGAGTTTGGAAACAGTAGAGCTGTAGATTAGAAATAGATTTTTCTAGGGGAGGTGGGACTGAGCAAAGTATAATTTGAAAGTGAGGGTGAGGTAGGTGGGAGGAAGTGACGAAGTCTGGACAGAGAAGGGAAATATGTCCAGGCACAGGAGGGAGACACTTCATGCCATCCCTTGTCCCAATACCTTCCACTTACTGATATGCTCTTGGTCCTAGTGAGCCTAGTTGACCAGGCTCTTCTTCTCCCACACGGCCTTTCCAGAGTCCTCCATCAGGACTAAGGTCTCCTCCTCTGTCCGCCACCACATGGTACTTATGCCCCTTTCACAGTACTTACCTCATTCCAGTTGCTTATGTGTCTGTTTTCCCACTTAGGCTACTATTTTCCTAAGGGTAGGAAAGTATCTTCTATACCTCTGTATCCCCTCCTCTCCCAAAGTGCCCCACAAAGTTCCTCACACAAGTCAATATGTGTTCCAAAAAATACTTTTTTCATTGAATGGGATGGGAGCTAAAGTAGAATAAAGTGGATCCAAATTATAAATACACACTGGGGTTCATTCATTCAGTAAATATTTACTGAATGCTTATTGTGTGCCAGGCCCTGTTCTAGGCTCTGAGGATCTATCCATGAACAAACCAGACAAAAATCTCTGCCCCTGTGGAGCTTACACTCTAGATCTATCATAAGGGGTAAGATTAGCAATAAATTGACATAAATTCAGCCACACTTACTAGCAAAAGACACACATTTTAAAAGTGCATTAATGAAGGCTGTAAGAGTCTACTGCTGATATGCAGTTTTTATTATGTATTGTACTGACTATATGCATAAAATATTCATACCTATGTATCACTCCATAGGGAGTCAAACTTTAGGACTATAAAGAAAACCTTCTTGGTAATTTAGGAGATTTTCAAGGAACATTTTGAGTGTGTTCAATTTTTTTCCATAGGCACAGTCTTTAAAACCTAACCACCTAATAAGTTGTGACTCTACTGTACCAAAATGAAGACTCTGAGATTGTTGGGCAAAAGAGACTACTTTAAGTATTTAAGCATGAGAATGATGACATGAGTCCATGTCCTCTCATATTTAACAGGGAATAAGAGAGAGTACATTCACATGAAGACATGGTCAAGCAACAGTGGAATTCACCTCAAGAATTTTTTAAAAACCAGATCAGTTCATGATTCACTTCTTATTCTTTTAAGACAACAGAAATAGTAAGAGCTTGATATCCTAAATATTTATAAGCAACCCTTAATTATAAAATTTAAGAGAAAAACTCTTAACTGGCTTAGCATGACTAAAGGCTTATAATTTTCATAAATTTTCCAGAGTATTTAAAAAGGATACCAAGTTAATAAAAATCATTTTAAAATTTTGTAATAATTTTATTCTATATATATTAATACTAATCATTTAACCCTGAATACAATCTTCACTTACACAATGTGTTTTCTTTTTTATTGAGTCAGAGTCTCACTCTGTTGCCCAGGCTGGAATGCAGTGGCATGCCCAAAGCCACTGCAGCCTCGACCTGCTGGGTTCAGGCGATCCTTCCGCCTAAGCCTTCCCTAGTAACTGATACCACAGGCACATGCCACTGCGTCAAGCTAACTTTTTAATTTATTATAGAGACAAGGTCTTGCCAAGTTGCCCAGGCTTGTCTCGAACCTCTAGGCTCAGGCAATCCTCTCGCCTCCACCTTCCAAAGTGCTGGGATTACAGGCATGAGCCACTGCACCCAGCTAAACATTTTTTCTTGACAGTAAACACTAGAAATATTCCATTACCATAAAGCTACAAAGTGGTTCATGCTCTTAAGAGCAAGCTAGAAAATAAAAAAATAATAATTATACCAGTGATAAGCTCCAAAACAGAACTTTATTTGCACTTAGGGCCTGATTGATTGTATTTTAAAGTAACCTGTACATTAGAGGACCGAAATAACACTTTATTTGACAAAAAGGAAGAAAAAAACATACAAAGGTCTGGAAACAGTAAAGAATACCCATTTTAAAAGTAATAAGCCGGGCTCGGTGGCTCAGCCTGTAATCCTGCGCCTTTGGGAGGCTGAGGTGAGTGGATTGCCTGAGCCCACGGGTTCGAGACCCGCCTGGGCAGCGAAACCTCATCTCTACAATAAATCAAAAAATCATCCAGGCATGGTAGCACGTGCCTGTAATTCCAGCAACTCAGAAGGCTGAGGTGGAAGGATCGCCGGAGTCCAGCAGGTCGAGGCTGTGGTGGCCAGGAGCGGCCACTGCACTCCAGTCTGGGTGACAGAGCGAGACTCCAACTCAAAAAAAAAAAAGTAATAAAAATCAATCATACTTGTTTTTTAATTAATGTAACATTGCAAAATATATTTGTCTATCACTTTTCTTTCTCTTTAGTCCACTTTACACAATTGAGATTGGTCCATTTTTGTTCATCAGTTGTCACACTAAGTAAATAAATATGTTGAATTATGTATGTTTGCTGTAATGACTCTAAACCATTAGAGCTAGATCTAGTAGCTCCAATAATCTTACTGGCAACTCATTCCTTAGCCAGATGAGACTCAGATGTGTGTGTGTGTGTGTGTGTGTGTGTGTGTGTGTGTGTGTGTGTGTGTAAGTGTATACAAGTTTGCCTGAGCAGTGTAAGACAGTATAACCCAGAGAGGGATGAGACAAACCAGTATATACAATGGTCCAACTAACCCATAAAGGTCTGGGTAATCAGACACTGAATTATCCTGACAATAAAACTGAGGTTGGGCAGTGTGGAAATTAGGGTATCTGTCACCAAAATGAAGAGTCAGTGACAGGTTTGGAAAACAAAGACTAAAGCAGTATGTCTTGGCCATAGCATTCTGAGGCCAAGCAATAGCCCCCTTTCAGGCAGGACCAGGAATTGGGATCCCCTGGGTCTGCAGCTGAGAGTCCCTGGAACTTCCCCAGAGGGCATTTTCGCATGCGCCTCTGGCAGTGGCCCTCTACCTTACCCAGTGACAATGTCTTAGGGGTCCTAGAGTGTGAACCTGGGCATCCCTCCTCCTGGTCTTAAGAGTTCTCCAAATACAGACACCATCCCCCTGGAGACTTAGCCAAAACCATCATTCCCCTTCTGTTTCCAACTGAGTCTCAGAAAGGGAGTTTCCTTTTGTCCTGTGGGGTCCCTGAGTTTGAGGTAATGCCAACATACAGTAGGCTGTAAAGCAAAGACATATGAAGTCAGAGAGTCTGCTTTAAAATCCAAGCAATCATGCAATATTGGCCTTTTGTTATCCAGAAACACTTCCTACTGAAATAGTATTTCCACACAATTTACAAAAAAAATTGCTGGAATATTACAGAAAGTTCTTTTTTTTTAAAGTTCATTGTTGAAACTCTTTAAAAGGAAGAAAAGAAAGCATATTACATTCCCACTTCCCATTTTCTGTCTGTAGCTTCCAGGTAAAAGAACACTGAGGTTCCCATGAAGCTATTTAAAGGTTCCTCTGCCTTTCCACCAGCCCAATAAAGGGAATTCCTGAGTCGTCTATCTCCTAAATTTGTAATCATGACTCTGGGCATGTCTATTCAGTGCTCTAATTCAATTTCAAAATCCACAGCATTTTTTAAACAAAATGATACAGTTGCATTCTTTAAATGCCAGCCATGAAATTATCACTTAAGAAAATGAAAAAAGGGCAGTCCCCTTGGGTCTCCTCTCACTGTGGGAACTTTTCTTTCCTCTTAGTAAATCCTGCTTTCTAAAAAAAAAGAAAAGAAAAGAAAGAAAGAAACAAGAAAATGAAAAGAAACCAGTTGGAGTATACGTAAGTACTCCAAGTCAGATAAAATTCTCTCCTTTTTAAAAAGTGTTTTATTTAGTCTGTTGAAGAAAAGAAGAAAAGCCTATGACCACTTCTTTTTTTTCTTTTTTTTTTTTTTTTTGAGTTGGAGTCTCACTCTGTCGCCCAGACTGGAGTGCAGTGGCCGCTCTTGGCCACTGCAGCCTCGACCTGCTGGGCTCCGGCGATCCTTCCGCCTCAGCCTTCCAAGTAGCTGAATTACAGGCGCATGCTACCATGCCCGGCTAATTTTTTTGATTTATTGTAGAGATGAGGTCTCGCCAATTTGCCAGGCTGGTCTCAAGCTTACAGGCTCGGGCAATCCACTCGCCTTGGCCTCCCAAAGTGCGGGGATTAGATGTTATTTTTAAAAATGAATTACACAACTTGTCATTAACTGAAACATCAGTCCACAAAGAGGTCTATAATATATAATATGGCTGTGATCAGCTTATACCCATCTACAGGAAAGTATCCTCCATCTGCAAAATGATTTTGCTAAAAGAATAGTGTACTGTGTAATTCGTACAGGCAACTCACTAATACTGATGCTGAAAACAAAGGGGAATGTGCACACACCTAACAGGAATTTCCTCAGATAAATAAAAGGCTTAAACACTGAGTTCTTTTCCCTTTTTTTTGAGTTGGAGTCACTCCGCCACCCAGGCTGGAGCGCAGTGCCACACTCATGGCCACCGCAGCCTTGACCTTCTGGGCTCAGGCAATCCTTCAGCCTCAGCCTTCCAAGTAGCTGGAACTATAGGCATGCATTACCATGCCTGGCTAATTTTTTGATTTATTGTAGAGATGAGGTCTCGCCAAGTTGCCCAGGCTGGTCTCGAACCCCTGGGTTCAGGCAATCCTCTTACCTCGGCTTCCCAACGTGCTGGGATTACAGGCTTGAGCCACCGTGCCCAGCTAACACTGAGTTCTTATCAGCAAGAGCCAGCAGATGCAAGGAGCCCTTTGTGAGAAACTCTGGGCTTTGAAACTTAAGTCAAGCCTAACATTTAAATGGAGGGTGAATCACACCCCAACCTAGTTTTCAAAAATAAAACACACAAACATTTTACACACATAGATTTCTACTTTGAATATACAAAATATTAATAGGTTTCTTTTGCCTGTTTAAAGAAAACTAATAAGATAACACTTTAAAATTTTTATATGATAAATCACTTTATTATATTATCTTTTCATAGAAAAACGTACTAAAATAATGGAGTGAGTTCATACAGAATATATACATTAGTTCTTATTGTTTATAAATACAGTCAATAAAAAATAAATATAGTAAATATCTTAGTGTCCTAGAAGAACTGCCTAGAAAATATTTTAAGTAATTATAAAGCACAAACAGAAGTTTCCTCACTTTTATTTCTATTATTCTAAAATTTGGATTTAGCAAACTATCCGATAAATGAGTGGAGAAACTACCTACAATATGGATTAATGCAAAAATAGCTGCACATACCTATTATATTATTTCATCTGCCAGTTTACAGAACCTTCTATCCCCCATCTTACCCACGGTGAAACTTCCACTCCAATTTTAAGAAAAATGCCATGTTTTAAAACCCTCTTAAACCAACTTAAACCCTTTTAAAGCATTATATCTTACTGACTTTCAGTCATTACTTTGGTTATTAGTTTCTGTAACTACTAATATGTGCTTGAATTTTCCATTTCAATACCCTTGAGTCTGTGCCTCTATATATTCCATTCTCTGTACCTGAGTTCCTCTTATCCCTGCTGGCCATCTGCTAGTGCCTGCTCCTCTTTCAGGCCTTGTCTTCCTTGTTTCTGCTGCTAACAAGCCTTCCCTGACCCCAACATAAGTCAGGGGCCACGTAGACCATATGTACAAGACATTTATCCCCCTGCAGATAATGCCTCTGTGTGCTTGTGTCTGGGGTATCACCATAGCAGCCACAGCCTCGATACAGGGCCTGTCACAGAAAAGAGAGGCAGACTCTCTACTGAAGACAGCAATGATCTGCAGGACAGTAGAGCACAAGGTTTGTGGGGACTCCTTTGAGCAGTGCAACTCCATGAAAATTAGGCTGAAACACAATAAGTTACATCATAAAACAAGAAAACTATTATTTTGAAAATAACATCAAGATAGTGTGGCAGCAATCAGAAAAAGAAATACAAATAATGCAAAATCAACTCACTGTTCCATGCCATCTCCAGCAGTGTCGACACAAAGAGGATGGTAAGAGACAGTGCTGAAGAGAAGTGTGACAGCGCCTTCTGGGTAGCAAAGAGAGTGGCGATGCTGTGGTGCGCTGTCAGCCCCCGCAAATTGCCTGCAAATCAGAAGACCTGGATTCTTATCTGCCTGGTTCCAAATCTCATCACTCGCTGAGACAATTTCTTCTCTGAATAATAAGAGCCCTTTTAATGCCAAAAGGTTGGAATGTCATGGAAATAAAGGATTTTGAGAAGATGGTGGCGATGGCAGCACAGTGTTTGAATCTCTCCAAATCACAACATTAAAACTGACAGGGCAACTAGTTCTCAAAACCAAAAACCCTGTAGACAACATAAACTACAAAACTAAAAATACATAAACTAAAAATACAAGGTGGGGATAAGCCACCAAGAACCACAAGAACTGTATACTGTCAACATGCCAGATATAGGGAGTATTATTCTCATGACCACTTTCTAAACAATCTACTAGAGAATAAACTTCAGACAACCAAAGTGATCACAGGGAGACCAGCACAAGGACAGATGACACTAAACATAGCATTACTTGTAAAATGAAAACCGAGTGGGAAGGGTGCATGAACACAATACACCTATTTTTTAAATGTAAGAAGAATGGGGAGAACACATACAAAAAAATTATTTCAGCTGCTTTAGTAATTATTTGGTAATATCATCCTGAATGTCATAGCAAGGATAAGTATGATCTCATGATGGACTTTTAATAACAATAACAAAATCCTAGCACTGTCCAGTGAAAATATGATAAGGAACCAATTTATTATCCTAATGATAAAGGAGTAATGCAATCATCTTGCCTTTCCTATATGAACCGGATCACTGAGTAACCAAATAATAGATAAGGGGAAGCATTTCTTTAAAACATATTCCAACTAATAAATAAAAATAAACGTAGAATATCACCATTTGCAACCACCAGTGGACTAGCAGATCTAGGCATTGAATATCAACAGCTGCTAATGTGACAGACATGCCATGCCTCCTGATGAAAATACAGCATCACCTCTAGTTTTGCAACAGAGCCTCTGGATCTAGCTGCCAATTTGGAGGAAATACACAGGGTTGAAGGGCACATACAGCTTCACCACAAATATGTGATCACCATGAGCACTTAATAAGTCAAATGTCTTTGGTTCCTCACAGTAATCTATATTTTTAATTAGTAAGCCCAGAATAAGTATTCGGTAACTATTTTTAATTTTTGGATTTTGCTTGATTGATATACATCTTTAAAAATCTCTGAACAGCACCCATCATTAGAATTTTACTTACAAATTATTATCAAAAATAAATAAAAAATTACTTCATAGCATCATTCATAAAAATCCAAGACCATTTTACAGAAACATGGAAAAACCAATGATATGTTTAGACATATTAACTAATTATAGAATCTAATGCATAACGCTGTCCTTACCTGGAGTTCTTTCCCCTTCACTTGAACTTCCTCATTAAGATGAAGAGGAAAAGATTGTAAAATATGCCTAGGATTGTCTCCTAGTAGAAGTAAGTGATGAGCTGGTTTGAGTCATTCTTACTGTCTGTGTCTGGTCCCCAGGTGATCATCAGTATAAAATCGTGTGGGACAGTGGCTACAGAACAGCATTTTTTTCTCAACTGAGTGCCTAAACTTCCAAAACAATTGTACAGAGGACCTTGAACTCATTAGGAGTATCTTCCAATCAATTCCATCTAGACTAAAATTCACACAACATTCTATACTACTTTTCTACAGCAAAAAAAAATTTGCATTTCTTTTTTATTCCTTTTTGAAAAAGATTTTAAAACATGTTTTGCTTAGATTATGCCAACCCAAAGTAGGCATGTTAAAGGGAATAGGAGACTGAATAGCTTCACGCAAACTAAAAATATTCCAAATTACAGAACGGAATTCATCACAGCTGTCTCCAAAAGAAAAGACACAAATGGCTGGAGAAGATGGAGAACCAGAACTGGTTGAAGAGTTACCTCAGAAATGTTTTTGTCAGTTTCTTTTCTTTTTTCTTCCAGTGTCCTTTCAATTCCTACAATTCCTACAGCCCGGCTGGAAAAAAAAGTAGTAAACAAGGCATACAAAATAGGAAGGAAACAAAATCTTTTGTAATCCACCACATTGTGTTTTCAACGGCGGGAAAAGACCCACCAAAAAAACCAAAGAAAAACAGCATGCAGTCACATCTAGCTTCCCTTTAAAACATTTGTTTGCTTCTTGTTATATGTAATGATCTTTAAATCATTCAAGAAAAGCCAAATGTACAATAAATAGCATATTTTACTCTGTACTTTAGGTGTAAATTAAATTTCCTATTCATTCTTGTTATTTGGCAAGCTATTATGCATCAGATATTTAATAGGGTCTCATATGTACAAATTGTATGTAATGTGGTTAAAATTTTGGCACTTAGTTGTTATCCAAGTTACCTTCACACACTTGAGTGCCTTTCTATAGCTGATGATTAGTTTAGACTGGTCTGGAAACCATCACCCATAAGTACTGTCTATTCTTGCAAATGCCACACTGACTGTGAAGAACAGAATTCAGTGAGTGAAATCTATCTCCTACCACCTTGAGAACTGCTCTAGTAAGCAGTCATTTATGTTTATTAAGTGTCTGCTGTCTATAAAGCACTAAATTCGTGCTGTGAAAATTATATTTTCATCACAATGCCACTATAGTGTTTTGTTTTTGACAAGTTCTACAGTCACAGTCTTTTTTCCTAATGAAGATGTAAGTACAGAGTTGAGAATACTGGATCAGCAAACAGTTTACAAAATACCTGGGGTCCTCTATTTGTTTGTAATGGCATATTCTCCCATCTTCTCTGTGTCATTTCCTCTGATAAACACCTGTAAAACTGTTATGCAAATATATACACTTTAAGTGTCAGTCAGGTTGTGGCATCCTCATAAAAATCATCACTTAACATTTCTTTAGTATAAAGGTCTGTTCAGTCATTTGCAGCAAGCCTAGAATTCTCAGAGACATCAAAGGAAGATCTTTTCTTGGGTCAGCTTCGGAAAGCACAAAGGAAAAGAAAAAAAGAAGGAACTGATGTTTTATATAAAGTAGGCTAGTCTTAAGAAACGAGTGACAATGAAACAAATAGACTTACTTTAAACCATCCTGCATCTGTGGGCTTTTTTTAGTCTATAGTGAAATAAGCACAGTGCCAGGAAAAATACAACCATTTTCCATGAAGGAAACAGAATAATTTGTCTAGTTAAAATTTAAAACTGAAAGTAGGACCAAAACATACCTATGCTCACAAAAAATATAAAATATATTTTTTAACTGCAGAGAGAATGATCTCAGTCACTTATATTTGCTTAGTGACCACTGTATGGAGCATGGGTTAGGTGCTACATAAAAGAAAACATAAATAACGTATGATATTGATGAAGAGAATAAACATGTTTCTAAGTGTCTTAAGATTGTACAGCAACTTATTAATCAGAACATAGAAACTACTACACTGCAGAATATATGCATTAATGACTAGATTTGTATGGAGTTAATCTAGATAGACCGCCTGATTTAAGGCCGGGGAACTTTCAGATACTGAGATAGTTTAACATTATCACTGCATTTACTCTCTGTCCCTTTAACCAAGCTATACCACTGAAAACTGTACCAGTAGCCAAATGGCATGACTTGGCATATTTCCAGCCTCTGCTCCCTCCTTGTGACCACACCCTCCTGCTTCCCATTCCCACTGAAACCCAAACTTTATATTCTCTACACTATGATAAGGAGCTTAAAATATAATTTAAACTCTTTATTATTAGAATATAGTGAAATCTGCTATGTCGTATAATATTGCCTTCCATCATATTAACAAACCACAACAAAAATACACGCATACATGCACCTTTCTAGTCCAATTTTATTCACACAGAAACTTACCTCAATCTGGCCATGTTCTTTGAAGGAGAGTTTGATATAGGAATTCTTCTACTCTGGAATGGGCCAGGTTCTTTGTTAGGAGGAGCTGGGTGAAGATGAACCACTATTTTGGCACTGAAGAAAGAGCAAATGTAATATATTTAAATTACCCTTTTAAAAATCACTAATTCTATTTTCATAACTTTCAATATTTTTCAAATCACTTAAAATTCACATAGAAACAATAAACATCCTAAAAAGCATCCTTTTAAAGTGTATATAAATTCAATATCAATGAAAAATACCTCTACTTAACTTATAAGCTATGAGCCAAGAAGCTTCAAGTTACTAGCTCTATAGATTAAATAAAAATGTGGTTTCAGAAAACACATAAGGGCAAATAAATCTGCAAAATGTTGAGTTTATGATTAGGGTTTTTCATCTACAATTATCTCCAGAGGTTACCAGGAGGCTTATAATTTCTGCCAATGCATACAACTTTACTCATTTGAAAAAAAAAATGTGAAAACTTATCTGTAAAACTGGTCAGCTGATATTTCATTAAAACTCTATCCAAAACTAACATTCTACAGTGCTATTTGTTGGAAAATGTCACTCAATAAACAGCATGATCTAGAATGATACCTAATAACAAAAAAAATCTTAAAATGGTGTTGTTCTAGGAACACAAACTATTCTTATCTTTATAATTACTATTATCTTCTATGCTATTAAAAATACCACTATATTTGTTCAGCTTTATAAATCTGTTTTCCTCCTTTTTTCCAACCTGGTCAATAAGCAATCTTCTATAAAGATTAGGGAAACTAAAAAACTCAGTTAAAATATCCTGGATACCTATTTTAGCACTTTTTCTGAGTGATCACATAAGGTACACGCTTATTACTCAATTTTACTTTTCTTTGTTTGGACCCATAAGGTTGCTTAAATATCATTGTAAAATTGAAACACCAGGAGTTAGGCCTACTCCATGTAATGAATTCTCTGGTTAGTGAGCTGGGGCCAGCCTTGTAAGAACTCCATCTATTCCCTTGTGAGGAACATCTTTAAGTGAAGTCAGCAAATAAACTGCACAAACAGAAACATAAAACTGTCTGAAATAAACTAGTAAGTAGAGCCTCAAAACTATGAAAATTATGAGAGGTGACTAAGCAAAAGCATTTCATAATCGCTGAAACTAGAGGACTGAAACTGGCCCAACTTTTCCATAGAATTAATGGTACTAGTTTATTTTTGAACAAACATAGTAATTGGCTCTCCTTGTGTTAAAGCTTGAAACTTATCTGAATTCCATTCTCAGGAAAGCACCACCCAGCCTAGAGAATCAAGAAACTGAAACTCACCAGATCACTTCATCCAGAGAATGAGATGATAGACTCCACCTGTTTGTCAACGCCTCTTCCTTACCCCTCCCTAGCTCCTGTTTTCTACTTCCTGCCCCACTATATTAACTCCTAACTTCAGCAGGATGGGGAGATGAATTTGAGAATGAATCCCCTGTTCTCTTTGTTGATATCACCCAATAAAAAGCCTTCCCTGACAATCTCAGTGATTGTCTTTCTGTGTAGCAAGCAGCAAGATCTCAGCTGAACCCCTAACATTCAGTAACAAAACCTGAATCCTGCTATGAGATTGTGTCAAAAGACACCCCCAATAAAAAGCTAAAAGAGTATGATACAAATAAAGTTTTAAAATTCCAAAGTAAGCATAAAAAATCCATGCCAAGTTTTTCATCTATTCTTTTATTGAGTCATTCAATCATCAAATTTAAAATCCATGAAATGAAAGCATCTTGAATCCAGAGTTGTTAAAAGGCGAAAAACGCATACATCTTGAAATCAATGCAATATGTTTGAGGGGAGGGACTGGAAACCAAAGAGAATATTTGAGAAAAGTTAATGTGGCACATTATTGGATTCCGCCTCACTGGAAATGTTTAAAAAATAAGACACTAATGTGAAGGTAAATATTTTAAATATTTTTATTACAGGGTTTAGAATTTCTTACATAGCAGAGGAAAATTAAAATGATCTGAAACAACCTTAAAGTTTACTTTTTAGAACTTAATAAGATGGAAAAAGTGACAAGGGGGGAAATATAAATTATAGGAACAATCTACTCCAAAAATCATCTAAGGCCTATTAATCTTTTCTAAATGATAGCTAGTTTATTTTGTGCCAAATAAATGATCTTTTTTGGCAGCTATAACTTTATGTTTAAAGCACACATTGCATGTTCAGCAAGTTCCACATTGTTTAACTTCTGCTGTCTGGTGTCTAGTTATGTGAAACCTAAAGATGAGCCTATGTAGAGAAAACAAAATCCCATGCCAACAATGTTTGTTTGTAAGTCTCCTCAATTACATGCACTTAAAATATAAAACCAAGTTTTTGGTTTATTTGAATAAGCAGGAACATGTGAACTTATGTCTTTACAGCAAGGTGGCCATATCTCCTGGTTTGCCTGGGACAGCTCTATTTCCATTGCTCTGGTCTAACTGTTCATTGTATTCCCTATTATTCTTATAAATATCCTGTTTTGGACAATTATTGTTATAATGTGCTATTTAATCCTGATGTCTGCACAAGTCAAACCTGAAAAAACTAACTTAACAATCAGCTAAAACCAGGAGCAGTTATTTTTCTCAGATAGGTTATTTCTGAGTTTACATATCAAATGACAGATATACAAACATGTTAAAGAAAAGTATATGTGGAAATATATACAATAAGTGGATGATAATTCTTTGCTGTGATCCATGTATAATAACAAGGATAGTCTAGCAAACTTTAGTACTTTATTCATGCTTTAAGAATGACTTCATACCTCAGTGAGCCTAAGGTAGGACCATGCCTTCTAAGGTGGCCTCATGACCAACAGGAAACGTTGCTGTAAATAAAAACTGTACTATACAGACCTTACCTCTTCCCAATTCCAGCTGCCTGCTCTTCAATGAACACAATTTGAGAAAGAGGAATGGCCATGCAGCACTCCTAGGAGGAAATCAATAGAAAATGAGATCTAAAACATTGTCAGAAATCCTTGTTTTATGGCACTAAATAAAGTGCCATACACCTTAATAATGAAAAATAGTGTTATTTTATTCCTTAAATGAACTTACAGGAAAATTAAATAAAAACATAATGTGGCGGCATTTTGGTGCATGGAAGAACATAAGCTGTAATTACGTTTGTTTTTATAACAGGTACATTTCCTAAGAGTAATATTTGTATAAAAACATTTTCCATGTAATATTTTCTTATATTGAAAGCAAAAAATATAACACATCAAAACAATTTTTTAAAGTGCATTTATATAGGTGACTTTTCTTCTTCTTTATAATCTTCCATACTTCACACACACACACACACACACACACACACACACACGCAATTAGTTTTAAACAGAAAATATTGATGTAGTATCCTTTTAGTAGTATGGTTAGTTATAAAAATTATTATACATGACCGGTGTATAATAGACCTAAGGATTTGTCTAAATTGCCCTCCTTATGGTTTAAGGACACCCACTCATCCTCCTCAAAAAGATTTATTTCCTAAATGTATATTATAATTTTTAAAAGAACTAGACAACATTTACAGTCTAAGGCACGCATTATCAACAGAGGCAATATCAGACCTAGAGGACAAAAAGTTCCTGGGGAGCAAACATGCCAGATATTGCAATGGTTAGCAGTCTTTTAAGGGCCACAGTAGAGTATATAGTTTATTTGTGGTATTAAAATTTCATGGGGGGGCAGCAATTAGGAAAATAAAAAGCACAGATGAGATAACTATCTCACTAGCCACACTGAAATTAATGTGCATATAGTTTCAAGTTGAAGCTTTTGGGAATAAAGATATCAGCTCTGTATACACATTACTCACTCTCCCTTCCTAAAAAACTGGTGGAGGTAGGGGGAAGCTTCTCCTCTTGTTGAGTGACTTAGGGGCAGCCCTTCTCAATATCTAAATAAAAGCATGCAGACCTATCCTTCTGATTCTCAATAACAACCTGCAACCTGGGAGAATCAGTGGTTTTAAGGACATATAAGCTCTTTTAAAGACCCCTCACAACTGATGGGAGAATTATTTCCCTGTTACATATGAAATATTCAGGTGTAGAGTAGGATTTGACTAGTATTCAAAAAACAAGAATCATCATGATTCTCCATCCAATAACTACGGGCTTTTCTGGAGCTATTGCTGCATTCCATTCAGAGAAATCATATGGGACATACTCTTTTGACATTCTGAAAAGGAAAATGCACTGCATCCATTTATAGTTTTGCCAGAAAAGCTTTAGTGATTTACAACTAGGTAATGTAGTGGGACTTTGTCTCCAATAAATAAACAAACAAACAAACAAATAAAATACAGCCTATAACAGATGCAAAAAACTGTATCTTACATGATTTTTCTGATCTCTCCAAATCAGTGTGTACTAAGAAGGAGGGTCCCACCGTCAAATTTTATCATAAAGACAAGATCATTACAAAATGGTAATAACATATTACTCAATGTGGTCCAGATTTTCTTCCATATGAATTATACAATACTAAGTGAATCATATTAGTAAGCATTTTCCTTTTAGAACTAGACTGATCACAAATTAAAGAGAAGTAATGTTTCATAAGCTATATATATCCTAATTCTATCACATATACAGCCTAATTCTGTCAGATTCTATCATATATATGATAGAATTAGGAACAAACTGCAAATAACCTAGATGTTCAATAATAGAGGAGTAACTAAATAAAGTGTGATATATTCATATGAAGGAATCCATGCAGAGGTTAAAAAGAATGATGAAATAGAACTGTATGGACTATCACAAAAACTCTACATCAAATTAGTAAGAAAAAAACAATTTTAGCATATTGCATATGCTTTATGTGTGCGTACACACACACATTGTAGAGAAAAGGTATGGAAGGAACACACAGTGATCTGTTAACAATCACTACCTCAGAAGGCAGTGTAAAGGAAAGAGTAGAAGGAAAGCAAAGAGTCATTTTTTAAATGCTACACTTCACTACTGATTTGATTTTTTTTACAGTAAGATTGAATTCATGTATAACACCCATTTTTTAAAATAAGAAACTCCAGAATAGACACAAACACACACAAAAATAAATATGAATAGAGGCTCAATCAATGGCATGGACAACTAGGTTGCCACATAGAAAAAAAGAAAAAAAAGATAAAGTTGGATTTATACCTAACACACTATACCAAAATGAATTCTAGATGGATCAAATATTTGAATATTGAATATTTAAAAACAGAAAAATATTTAAAATTAAAAATATTATACAAACACTAGAAAAAAATAATTTTTAAAATAGTCTCAGAAAGAGAAGGCCTTTCTAAGAAAGGCATTAAATCCATTAGCATTAGAGGAAAAATGTATAAATTCAACTACACACACACACACACACACACACACACACACACACACACACACACAAATTCTTCATGGCATAAACTACCAAGGACAAAGATAAAAGAGATATGGTAGACTGGCAAAAATAACTGCAACTCACATCAGAGACAAAGGGCTAATTACCTTGATATTTAAAGTATATTCAATGAGAAAATGGCCTGTAATTCACTAGAGAAATGGACAAAGGCTATGAATAGAAAGTTCACAGGAAGCCAGTCTGGGTGGCTCAGCCTGTAATTCCAGCGCTTTGGGAGGCTGAGGTGAGTAGATCGCCTGAGCCCGCAGGTTCGAGGCCCGCCTGGGCAATTTGGCAAGACCTCATCTCTACAATAAATCAAAAATTAGCCGGGCGTGGTAGTGCACACCTGTAGTTCTAGCTTACTTGGAAGGCTGAGATGGAAGGATTGCTGGAGCCCAGCAGGTCGAGGCTGTAGTGGCCGGGAGCAGCCACTGCACTCCAGTCTGGGCAACAGAGTGAGACTCCAACTCAAAAAAAAAAAAAGGAAGTTCACAGGAAAGGAACTACAAATGCCTCAAGCACATTAATACGCCCAGACTCCATGATAGTAAGAAGAAAAAAAAAAAGAGAACATCAAAGCACCCTTTTTCATCCATGAGAGGTAGAGGTCCAAAAGTTTGATAACATTGTGCTAATGAGGTTGTTGGAGAGACAACCTCTGTATAGGGCAATGGGTTAGTATCTATTAAAATTGTAGGAGGGAGAAAGGGAGAAAATTAATAAATAAATAAAAATAAAGTAAAATTGCAAATACATACATCCTTTGACCCAAATGTTACTTAACACTTCCAGGAATTTATCCCACAGATAAATTTACACATATGCAAGATGATATGGTACTAGGTTATTCATTGCTGTTTGTAAGAGCAAAAGACATGGCCAAGTCAAATGTTCATCAACAGGGAAACACGGACTGCTGGGTAGTAATTAAAAAGAATATGGAGAATCTTTATGTACTCCCTGTATTTAATAAAATGTAAGATCTCATTGCTTTAAGACACCTCCTGATTTCAAAATTGTTAAAATTGATGAAGTATGATACATTTTCCAGAAACATTATTAAATGAAAAAAGTAGGTTCAGAACAGTATGCAGAGTATACTACAAATTTATATTTTAAAAAGAAAAAAATGTATTTCACACATATGACACACATTCATAGCCTTCTCACTAGTGGCCTCTAAGAGAGAACTGGGTGACTAAGAGGCAAGGGTGCAAGGGAGACTTTGAACTTTATACTCTGTTATGGACTGAATGTTGGTGTCTATCCCCCTCCAATTCAAATGTTGAAGTCCTAACCCCCATTGTGATGGTATTTGGAGATGAGGTCTTATGGAAGTGATGAGGTCATGAGCTGGGCCCATCATGATGGGATTAGTGTCCTTATAAGAAGAGAAAGAGACACAAGAGCTTTCTCTCCATGAGCATGTGCTGAGAAAAGACCACAGGAGCACACAGCAAAATGGTAGTCATCTACAAGTCAGGAAAGGGGCCCTCACCAAGAACCAAATCTGTTAGCACCTTGATCTTAGACTTTCCAGGCTCTTGCACTGTGAGAACTAAATGCCTGTTGTTAAGCCACCCAGACTATGGTCTTTTGTTATAGCTGTTCAGCTGACTAAGATATACTCTTTGGGGTTTGGGAAATGTATCATCTATTCAAATATAAATTTTTAAATGTTTGGAAGTACTTTAATACAATCACACACACACACAAAATGCCAACTAGGTAGAAGCAAACACTTAACTCTTATGATTTGCTATTACGCCCTGAAAATTATATAAATAAGCAAATCTTAGAGTTGGAACTCAAGAGATTAGTTAATTAAACCCCTTCATCTCTTTCTTTATTGGAAGCTTCCTTTAACTCTAATTAAGTAGAAAGTGGAATTTGCTATAAGCTAGGACTTGCTTGTATTCTTTCTAGGAATATACAGTTATTTTAAAGTTACAAGGCTGTACCTATTTATAAGGCTACCTTACAAGACAAATTCTAAAGAAAGTACTTTAGTGAGGACCCAATTAATGAAAAATAATAATGGAATTACTATTATACTCAGTGGTCTATCACAAAAACAAAGAACAGAGTACCAAATGTTCTCACTAATAAGCGGACATTGAAAAATTATCATAATACTATAAGAAAGGGATTGGCAGTAGTGGGAAACTGCCAGGGGATGGGGGGTGGGTTTGGTAGTTGAGGGAAACTGCTAGGGGAGGATCGGGCACACCTCATCAACAAGGGTACCTGCATAATCAACGTTTGTATACCTAACCCTGAATTGCAACCCACATCTTTCAAATAAAAAAAAAGGAAGAAAAATAATAATAGAATTATTTTGAGTTTAAAATAATGTGGTTAGAAATGATTGTCAAGTAAATAACCAATTGGAGTGTTACTACATATCACTCTTAAATAAAAATAATCATAAGTTATTATGTGGTTAACAATACACTTAAAAAGATTCAAGATATTAATAGAGAAAAGCAAGTTTCAAAACAGTATATGTAGTATAATTACACACACAC